TTACCTCATACGCAGATGATGGCATGATATTGACGTCGGTCAATGGAATCGATGGCATGTGTTGAAAAGTGGATGCCTATTTCCAAGAACTTTCTCGCTTCTTCACTGCTAGTAACCCAAAACTTTTCTCTGCCAAATCCACGACCACCCTATTTACCAACTGGATGAAGGAGTACAGACTGGAACTCAACATTTCCGTCAATGACGTCAAAATTCCGACGATAAATAATATTATGATTTTAGGTGTCACACTTGACAGCGACTGTCACAAAAGAACAGAACCGCAACAAAATCCTCAAATCGCTAGCCAGCAGCACTTAGGGCAAACACAAAAAGACGTTGTTGGCAACAAACAAGGCAATCGGTCGGCCGGTTATTAACTACGCCGCTCCAATATGGTCGCCTGGATATAGTAGGACGTAGATGGAGAAGATTCAGACCTGCCAGAACTCCGCATTCCGGACTATAACAGGATGCTTCCTGATTTCTCCTATCGAACATCTACACAGTGAGGCCCACATGCAACCAGTAAAGGAGCATAACACACTTCTCTCAAAGCAGTTTCTACTCGAATGTTTTCGCCGAAATCACACCTGCAGACATCAGCTTGAAGCGGAGTCGCCTCCCAGAAACATCAGGAGAACATTCCGTCAACATGTCGCCAAACTACTCAATAAAACCCCCTCTCCCTTAGTCCGAATCTGTCGAAACAGCTCGTTTCCATTAAGTGATTTCGATGACAGTTAACTTATTACTTTTCCCCTAACAGGGTCTGGATAATCGTTACAACAAGAACAATAATTCTCTTCAAATTCCGTGATGATATTGGTCAAATAGTCAAAAATTTTTCATAAAAGGATTTGATTTTAATAGGTCAGTTTTGTATGTGCTCCGATGTCGGCGGTTCCGGCGTATGAGCAAGATGGGGATAATAGGACGTATTTAAAATTTCAGATCGATATCTCAAAAACTGGGGAACTTGTTCTCGTTTATACCAACATACATGAACATGGCTATTTCGATTCAACACATCACGCTGATAATTTATATGTATATATAATATATACTTTATAGGGTCTCCGAAGTTGCCTTTTGGGTGTTACAACCTTAATAAACCTTGTTTAGGTTTTTATTAAAAATACAACATAAAAACCTTTGGAATCAGTATATCATCATATCTAACATTGGGTTTTTTAGTTTAGGTCAATTTATGAAAAATTACATCTTCTTCAGAAATAGTCATAGTCGGACAGAACTCATTTTAATAGCCAATAATTAATTAATTTGAAAATTAATCAAAAAGATTTGAAGATTTCGAAATCGTTACACAATTAAGAATAAAATTTTTAAATCTTGCATTTCATTTTTGAAAGTAAAAACTAAAAATATTGGAGTAAAACAAAACTTAGTAACTATAAATACATCGGCTATACCCAACGTTCATAAAATATTACAAGATTACGACAACTTTGAAATCATATGTTTGATGACAAAGTTGTTTCAAAATGGTTGGTTGCCATAGTCATTTTATAATTTTTATGTTGTTTTATCTTTGAAACCGCTTAAAATATTAATCATTAAAAGCTATAAACTGATAATTTACTTGTAAGGAATTAATAATATTTTGTATCAAAGATGTTATGAAATAGTTTTGCAAAAGTCGCGAGCAGCACAGTACGCGTAAATATTTCTTTACCGATTCATTGAGAGTGAGAGAGTTATTTGTATATATTACATGGATAATCGAAATAATGTGATAAACAAATTTAATATATAATTTATTACTTCAATTTGTACCTTATCTTCTGTCGAAACACACGATATCTACACCGAATTTTTCACGAAGAAAGTGAAGTAGTGGCAAGTTCGCATCCTTTGCAAAATGTACATTAAAGTCACCACCGAGAATCGATGGTATGTGATCATCACCCCTGCCAAGGAAAGCAGCACCATCATGAGTGTACAAAACTCTGTATGAAATATATGTTGTCCTTAATTTGATTTGATTAGGAGATATGTAGATCGCTGCGATGACATATGATATTTTACATTTACTCAAGCTGTTATCAATGAGCTCAAAAACTTTGGTAATTAAGAGAATATATTTATAATCCTTTCCTTTGGCGAATAAAATCAAGCATTTCTTTATCAACAGTTTCTAAACAAATCAACGAAAGTCTTCGGAAATCAATTTGTACATATGTCATTGCTGTTGTAGCTCTCCTACCATGCTAAAAACGTAAATCGTCGTTTGTTGTGGTATAATCCTATACTTCGCTTTATTGGCAATTATGTTGTTAATAGATAAAAATATTGCTAAAAAAAACTGACCAAAATATTTTCCCTTAATATTATTATATTCATTTTACTAAAACGTTTTCATTATGAACTAATAAATTAAGTCTATTTCACGAATTAACATAAGTGTTTACGGTTTTGCTTACTATTTACATGCCGTTCTATGTTTATTCTTCTTAACTCAAAAGAATTACGTCACAAGCGGCGTAATCTTGTATTCTACCATTCTTGGTTCTGCACGGCACGTCGGGCACTAATTCCAACACAATGCTTTGAACACAAAGCCGACTGCACGACACCATCCTTGACGACACGACTGCACGATAGCGAAATTTTCTTGTCGGGAATTGTCGTCTTGAAGCCAGCTTTTTGTACTTTATGAAGACGGCAGCGACATCTCACACAGCTGATATACACAATTTCACTTCATTGAAATTTAAATATTTTGTTCAAAGTGAACTTTGTGCAAAAAAATAAGTAAAGAGGTCGATATATTTGTTTTAAATTATCAATTGTTCTTACAAATGATATATCAGAGCTGTTTGATGCTTCTGTTGGTAAGATAACGTTAGACTTGTTAGATACTTTGAAAACACTACACTGTCCATTGTCGTCGGCAAAATTAGAAATAGTTTTAATTTAGCGACAGCGACAACTGCAAGCCTGCTGCACTGGAAGTCGTGCTGTTGTTTATATAACTGTGACAATAAGAACGTGTGTATGTTAATATTTGACAGATGCTGCCTGTCGCATGTTGTATTCCATGTGTTCAGCGTTTGAGACCAGAACGACTCCCGAAGTGATTTATACAAGGTGCGTTCCAAAGTAAACAGGACAAAAGTAACAAAGTAAACTCTAGTGGCGCCATCTATATGTCGACTAGTGCCTTAGAATCTGCGACCCTTTATCGACTTCCAGTAAAAATTTCATGACATTTCATCTATTGGAAGTGAAGTTATCGTGCTACATGTGACATTACATTTGTAGTGTCGGTCGGAAAATGAGCATCGAACAAAGAGCCAACATTAAGTTTTGTTTTAAACTTGGTAAAACTTTTACCAAAACTCATCAAATGATGAAACAAGTTTATGGCGATGATTGTCCATCCCGTAGCCGTATTCACGAGTGGTTTCAACGTTTTCAAAGTGGTCGTGAGGACATAAATGAGAAATGAGCCGAAACCCAAAACATCGCGCCTGGAGAAGTCAAAAGTGAAGACAATGCTGATTTGTTTTTATGATTCCAAGGGTATTGTCCACAAAGAATTTGTTCCACCCGGCCAAACCGTAATGCGGTATTCTACCTTGGAGTTTTGAAGCGAAGATGGAAGTTGGCGTTTGTTGCACGATAATGCGCCGTCTCATCGCTCGACGCATGCGGCCGATTATTTGACCAAAAATCAAATTTTAACAATCAACCACTCCCCGTATTCACCTGATATGGCACCTTCCGACTTCTACCCTTTCGGATAACTACATTTGGCCATGAAAGGAAACCGCTATACTGACGTTGATGCCATCCAAAAGGCGACGACCGCCATCCTCAACGCTATACCGACAAATGACCTAAAAAAGTCATTCGATAACCTTCTTGAACGTGCAAAACGTTGTATTCAGGCAGAAGGAGACTATTTTGAAGGCGACCAATAAATTTTTCAAAAAAAAAAAAATAATAATATTCGTTTTTTAATAAAAGTCCTTAAACCTTTTGAATTGCACCTTGTATAGTATATGTATGTGGCAATGTGCAGTAGTACAATATGCTTACAGAAACAAAAAGGAGACGGGAATTTGAAAAGGGGCGTGACGCGACCTAGAAAATTTCCTCTGATGCGGCAAAAATAATATTCACTTCAAAACTTATTTTAATCTTCAAAAATATTTCAATTTAAAATCAAGTTTTAATTTTTCCAAATAAATGTATACACATAGCAACTCTAATTGCCTGATGACATTTGAAGGAATGACATATTTAAATAAGTCAAATTCGTTATAAAATTTGTAAATAGGTGGTATGGACAAAATTTGAGTGAGTGATATGAATGCTATGAAGAAATTTAAATATCAAAATTTTGCATAACTTTTCCAAACTTAAGGCGGAGGAAACTAACTTAATGTAAACTTTTGGATAATAGATTATTAATGACACTGTTAGTATATCACAGAAATAATTTTTTTTTCTTACATTTCTTAAGATTTCATAAAAATAAAAGTTAAAAAAAAGTTTTGGATTGTCTATTGCGCGCAGAGGGTAATTTAATAAATTCAACAATTTGCTGTAATAATTTCAAATTGGATGACATCTTATTTAAATTGGGTAAGCTTCACATACATAGTTGTGTTTAGATCTATCTTAATGTGCATGAACAAAAAACGCAAAAATAAAAAACAGTAATGTAACTAATTTTTTTTTTAATTTGTCCCACTGTGGGAATTACTATGTTGGTTCAATGACGTCAAGGTTGTCGTAACCTTGTATTTTATGAACGTTGGGCTATACTACTTTAATGAGGTATATATACTCTGGATTGTACAGTACTGTATACTAATATACTCTCTAGTTTCTTTGTTGTTGCTTGCAAATTAAATATTTTGACAAGGAAATAACGCGAAGATAGCGAGCGGAGAAATGTCGAAGCAAAGACTATATTAAACTATAATAGGAAAACACAATTAGCATAACATAAAAATATTATTTCTTACCTGGGTCGGCAATTGAAGCGATCCTGGTATTATTGGTATTCCGGTCATAAAATCATTTGTTAAAAATGGTCTTAAGACTATTGACCTACAACAAGACGGAGTTCGATTCGTGGGATCTCTGTCAAAATGCACGGGAATCAGAACAATTGGCATTTGCGAAATTACACGATGTAGACCTGTCTGATTTATTATCTAAATTAAAGAAACATAAAATGCAATCATCACAAAAAGTACTTCTATAAATTATCAACATACTTCGCTTCCTATAGCGTCAGCTTCCCTAAGTTGCTCTAAAACGTATTTATTAAGAGAAGTATGAGTAATATCGGTAATTTGATATTGCACGGGACCTCCAAACACATAGCAAACACGGTTGACATTATGAAGAATACGAGGAATTAATTTTGCCAAAAATATCAAATCAGTCCAATTAGGTTCTGAACTACTAGAAAGACCCACCACATAGCTATAAGTTCTTTTATCACCTGAAAAAAAAAACATAATGTAACACAACTATTTGATATAAACTGAGTAAAAATTTATTTTTTTTTTCAAATATCAAATATCATAGGGTGAAGGATAGTGTGAAAATTATGGCTATACACATTTTTAAAAGTAATTAAAACATGCATTTATTCCTCCTTAAGGAAATTTTTATTTCAAATTCAAATGATTTCGTATATATTTACTAATTACCATTAAAAGCTCATAAAGCCTAAAATATAACAAGTACGGAAAGGCTAAGTTCGAGTGTAACCGAACATTTTATACTCTCGCAATTTAAAAAGATCAAAGGCGGGGAAATACTTTCAGGTGTGGCAAAACATTCAACTTTCGTTTTTTGACAAAATCGTGAATGATTACAATCAAATTTGGTATCTCATTAACTTATGTATATTATAAGTCGTAGATTTGCATAGTTTTATTATACATTTTGCATTCCGAAATAATAATATTAATATCTACTTAATTAACTCAAATGAGATATATTTGAAATAAACTCAATCAAATCTAAATTAAAGAGATGGGGTATATAAGAAAACCATAAAACAAAGGATGGGAAATCCCAATTTCATTCTGGAGTAATAAAATCACGATATGTAGTATATTAAACTATAGTATATCCAATATTATACTTTCACTTAAGATATCTTACATATGGACCGATATATACGGTATAAGGCCAACCAAGATTGATTAATTCAAAAAATATTCTCCCCCATATGCACTGTGGTCCACATATTTGATGTCTCGGTCCCTGAATAGTTATAATCCGATTTCGACGATTTTTGGGCGTAAAATGAAATACCTTCAGGGCACTATTTGTGCAAAGTTTTATTCTGAGATCTTCATTGATGTTTTATTTGTATACTGAAAATACGTGTGTTATACGGGAAGTAGGCGTGGCTGTATCCGATTACACTCATTTCATATAATAGGAATTTTTATATGACAATAGGTTGTAAAAGAATCGCAGACCGACCAAATTGTATTCCATACTTTGTCAGACCTAGTTCCTCAACAGTAACAGTATAACAATGTCCTTCTTCCCATAGTAATCGACACAGACCACTGAGGTGTCCAAGAATTGAAACATGGAGCTCTTGTTCAACAACTTCATGATCTTGTCCTCTCGGGGACGTGACTTTTACTTCTCGTCTCCAATGACTTCTTGTCATTTCGAACCAAGTTTTGGGACTTTACAATTCTTTAATCGCAAAATTCGTGCAAATCTTTATATATGTATATTATTACTTACCCTGTACACCGACAGACCGCAAAGGTAAAACTGTAGCTTGTACCTTATCTATGGACGAAATACGCTTAAGTTCCTTTTGTTCTGCTTCTGTGGTAGAGCCAATTACGCGATTTATTAATGCATGGTTTTTCAATAGTTTGTTATGAAAATCTACTATAACTTTTGCGATAACCTATAAAGAACAGAATAAAACTGGATTTTTCATTATTACAAAAAAAAAAAAAAAAACCTGTGTCTCTGAGTAGTCCTTTTCTATATAAGGTTCTTCAGCACAGAGAATCCGAATGGCTAGGCCTGGCCCTGGAAATGGTTGTCGTTCAACTAAGTCGACTGGTAGACCAAGATCTCTTCCTATGTCTCTTACTTCATCTTTGTGAAAATCGCTTAAAGGCTCAACGACACGACCAGCACTTCGCAATTGCCTTGTCAAATAGTTTTAAATCAGTTAAAAGTCAGTGTTAATAAAAAATATGTGTATTATTAACCTTATTAGTTCTGTATCGTTATGATGAGTTTTAATAGTTTCTGCGTTTTGGCTAATTAAATTTGATGCAGATTCAATCAAATCTGGTCGAAGCGTACCTTGAGCCAGTAACACTTCATCAGGCTTCAACTTCATTTCAGATATAATATCATTGGTTATTTTTACGAATACATCTCCAATAATCTTGCGTTTCTCCTCTGGGTTAATAGTCTGGAACAGCATGGGCGTTTCTACAATTGAGAACTGCCCAGGTCTTTTAATCTGTGTAGTGCCTTTTAAAAATCGATAAGCTTCCTTTTTCACTAGCAGATCAATGCCGATTTCCCTTAAAGATTTTTCAACCTTTTCACTTTCTCCTTTGCGCATGAATCCTTAATAAAATTTTTTTTTTATTTTGCTGCAAATTTTTAAAAAGTAAATTACCGTTGTCAATATGAACTGCGATAATTTGATTTGGATGTAATGCGTGGCGTAACAAGGCAGCACAAACAGTCGAATCAACTCCACCGCTAACCAGCAACTAGAAAAGAAAATTATAAAGATTCATACAAATTTTTTTTAAAAAATAATCAAAAATTACCACCCTTTATACATAGTTTTTTGAACATAGATAAATAAATTATTTGTAAATTTATGGCGACTATAAATGGAGGGATTCGGCTCGCTTAACGCACGTAAAAGCAGCTCGCTTAACGCTCAGTATAGTGCAATTTTAAAATTGAAATTACTTTAATAATCTGCTATGACTGTATGCTACAATTAAGCATTACTATTAAGCAATACAGCTAGTTTGACACACTTGTTATAGTACGCAAAGATGTCAAATCAGGAATCTGATCTAATAGAGTTCCCTACACAATTTGGCGAATTTTAGAGATATCTGTAAAAAATAATACGTTATTTAATTATTCACGAACGTCTCTAACTAAAAAATTTACCAAAATTTGTTTAAAAAAAAATGGTAAGCTCTTTAAACACTTTATAAATTAATAATCATTTTCACAAATTTTTGTTATGCAATATTTTTACGAATTCACATTGTTTATTTATGTTTTGATCTGATTAAACAAATATCTATAATTGTAATGACGGAGCCTATACGCTGCATTTTTATAAATGGATAGTTAGTAAATAATTGGTCACATTCTTTAAAATAATAAATATTAATCGACTTAAAAAACTCATAATTTAACGCTAAAAAATTTAGTAACTTAACGACCAACGTAAAAATTAATTAAATTCTACTAAACTAATTTAAATTCTAATGAACGTCAAATTTTTTCATTTCTTTATATTTCTTTTACAAATTTTGGCAAATTTGCAAAATAACTTGAAGGCATAGTTAGAATTATCTGATTTACATAGCTGAAAGACGCACATTTTGAAGGTAATTTCATGATACCACTGTCATAGAAACCTTCGTCGCTATTGGACGGAATCGACACCTCCTCATATACTATGAGAATTATTGCTATCAGATGATACCTACGCAGGAACCCTCATATAACAATTATGTTGAAAACTACTAAAAGTCCGAAAACCAACTTAATAAATACATCAATAGCATTAAATTTCACAACCAAAGTGATGCGGTGGACGTGCCCCGTGGCAATTTAAAATTTCATATGCTTCTTTCACTTTACAGTATATAAATCAAGCACCAATTAAAATTTACTAAAAATGGATGAAATGGAAATATAGCATTTCAAGCTCCCAGATATCGAACATGTGGACCACAGCGCCTAGGGCTGAGTTTTTAGCATATATATCGGTCAATTAACTGTGAGATATACACTTATGGACAAAAGGTGTACGTTTTTTAGCTGTTACTTTTTTTTTGGATACCGTTATATTCTTACGATTAAGGCGAAATAGTAGTGCATAAGTATCAACATATTGCATTACTATTTTGTTAATTTTGCGTTTGAGTGACAAGTTATCATTGCCTCATTAAATTTGGTTGGCCAATAAAATAGATGTTAGTAATATGTTTTAAAAATAAGTGTTATTTCGAAACATTTTTCATATTAATGTAGGTATTAGTAGGTAGTATTTGTAATTTTATATTCCTTTGGACACCATAAACTAAAAACAAGAAATTATTTAGAATGGGTCGTAAAAGCCACTGTACCGATGTAGATTATCGATTGGTAAAAAAAATTGCGTGATGAAGGAAAAACGTATAAAATCGTTGCAAATACGTTAGGAAGGTCGAAAAACTTTGTAACTAATTCTCTAAAGTAAAAAAAAAATGAAAAGGAAACTCGTGGTCGTCCAAGAAAAACTGGCCTGATTGATGATCGCCGTATACTTCTCATGGGAAAAAAGGACCCTTTTGTGACTTTACGGCGAATTGCAATTCGGGTCGATTGGTGAACGGTAATTTATCGGGGCGTAAGGCCAGAAAAATTCCTCATCTAAGAAAGGTCCACATATAAAAGAGAAAAGCTTTTGGCGCTGAACATAAAAATTGAAGCGGTCCCACTGAAGAAAGAAGTGGCGAATATTTTATTCAGTGACGAAGTTAGGATTGATTTTTATGGAAATGATTATAAAATAAATGTCCGTCGCCCTAAGGGCAAAGAATTTGATTGTAGATACACCAAAAAAACAATTTAGCATGACTTTGAGCATACTTTTTGATGACGGTGTCAACAATTTCTACATTCAAATCCATATGCAAGTTGTCATTACGAATGTACCAGGGTGCATTAACAATACCACGAAGTACTTTGTTTTGAAATCTTTGGATAATTAATCTGTTGCTTTGACTGGTACAGCCCCAGAGTTGAATACCATAAGTCCAGATCGGTTTAAGGATTGTTGTATATTGTCAAGACAGAATATCTGCCTAATAGCCAGTACATTTTTCTGTACTTAAGTTTTAATTCTTCTTGTTTTTTTTTTTTTTTTGACATGTGATTTCCACCTGAGTTTAGTATCAAGGGTCATACCAAGATATTTTGCTGTATTCTCATACGGAACTATTTTTTGATTCATATATATTGGTTTGTGCTGTATACGTTTATTGGTGAAATCTATATGCACTGATTTGGTTTCATTTAGCTTAATGCGCCAAGTAGTTGTCCAGCGTTGTACTTCTGCAATGGATTTTTGTAATTTTTCTGTTGACTCAATATTATTGTCGCCAACGGCTAAAATTGCAGTATCATCAGCAAATGTAGCAACAATTTTTTCGTTAAATGTTGGTAGGTCACTAGTATATAAGAGATAAAGAACTGATACATTACCTTGCGGAACTCCCGCTTGGATTTTTTTTAGGGCAGAAAAAGCGTTCTCTTGTTTGATTCTGAAATAGCGTTTTGATATATATGATTTCAGAATTTTCGAGAATTGTGTTGGAAGAAACATTTTAAGTTTATAGTTCAATCCTGCATGTCAAACTTTATCGAAAGCTTGTGCTACATCAAGGAATATTGCTGAGCACACTTTTTTTTCTTCTAATGTTTTTTCAATTGTATCAATTATTCGATGAACCTGATCAATCGTAGAGTGTTGATTCCGAAAACCAAATTGATGATTTGGAATAAGATTTTTCTCATCAATAATTGGTTTTAATCTTTTCAATAAAAGTTTTTCAAACAGTTTGGACATAACCGGAAGCAGTGAAATTGGTCGGTATGATGTGGTTTCATGGGGTGGCTTTCCAGGTTTGGGTATCATAATAACTTCAGCCACCTTCCATAATGACGGTACATATTGTAGTCTGAATGATGCATTAATCAGATTGGTTATTTTAAGCAATGCTTTCCTTGGTATCTGGTATCTGGTATCTGGCCGGTGATCAGGTCGAAATCAGGAGCTTTTTTAGGGTTCATGGTATTTTAAATTTCTTTTTTGATTTCAGCTAGAGTGACTCGTGGTATTTCCATCTTTTCTTGTGCAATAATGTTTGGTAACAGTTTGGATTGAAAAATCGTTTCAAGGTGTTCAGCAAATCTGGATGCTTTCTGATAGTTATTTCTAGCCCAGCTACCATCAATGTTTTTAATTGGAGGGGTTTGCATAATTGGCCTTTTCAGTCTTTTGGTAGACTTCCAAAGTGAATATTCAGTACTTGAGTCATTTGTAACTTCACATAGAAATGCACTCATGGTATCGTTCTTAAATTGTTTAATTTCATTTCTTAATTGAGACGTTAAGTTATTCAGTCTAGTTTTATCTAGTGGGGCTCTGGATTGTTGCCATTTTTTCCTCGCTTTTCTTTTTTCAAAATTAGTTTCAATATTTCTTTGGGATAATTGTTACCTTTGGTCTTAAACAAACTTCAGATGTATTTTGCCACGCTGAATTGATTTTATTAAAAAAAAATATTTAACACCTATTATTTTAACCAATGATATTTATTATTTTGAAAAAAAAATTAAAGCGTAAATATGTCTAAAACAAAATTTTTTTAAATGCAAATTCTTCAAAGTTATTAAATAAAAACTGTGTACACCTATTTTTTTGTTCATAATGTAATAAAACAATATGAATGCATATACATAAAATGATATTGGTTATTATAGCAGACTTTATACCGAATATATCCTTCAATGTGTAAGAAAATGTTTGCGAGTACACTCGACTAATACCCATAGTCAATGAAATCAGCTCAGACCTTTACCTGTCCCCAATTTAGCCGGAATAGTGATTTTTGGCTTTCCATCTGATTTCAAACCGTTTATGTGGATATTCTAGTCTAGAGACATGAATTTTAGGTAATTTTTAAAGTGTCGTAAAAGAAAGCAATCATTATTTTTACCATCAATTATTTTATCATCATATTTTATGATCATGAGATTTTGGAACAAGAAGGCTGATAAGGGCAAAGAATGGAAAGGAAGGAGTGTGCTGAGGTGATAATTCAGCCTAATCAGCCGGGAGCGTTGCTTCGATGGTAACTGTGGCGCAATGCAAAAAAGCACGGCACCAACCCAAGACCTCCCCGAAGAAATGCAGACCAATAGGACTTGAGTACACCCCAAGAGAAGTCGGTTCTGTAACACAGCAGCCTCTGCTGTTAGATCGAACAGGTTCAATTCGGATAACCTAGGAGTAGGAACCGTGGGCATTTAAAAGGTCAAGGACCTTACAGATAAGCACCGAGAGGTAATTTGGGATATGTCTTTTGATAGACCCAGAGTCCGTGTGGTGCTTAGACATTAACTTTCTACGTGTTTTAGAATTCTTGACGAAAGATCCGTGTTGCTGTGCAGGCGAGCAGTAAAGGGGGAGATGTGGTCCTGATATCGGCTATTTCCCTAGTAAATCGACCGAAATGTTTTTAGTTGCGCGGTCGTTTGATCTACAATAAAAAGTTTGAAAAATTTTGATTCGGAGGTTAACTGCTGTTTTTTTAAATGATTTTTATGCTATTGCATAACTTCTATCGCAAGCTTTGAGCTCAGGGCTCAACAAATTCCGTAACGGAAATGATGCTTATGCGCTCAGTATTTGCATACTTTTAGGAGTATCGTATTTCGCATATCTCAAGAGAAACAAATCAATTGAAGA